TCTGCTCGGCCACCCCTTTCGTCTTCACTCGCCGAGGGTAAGAGTGGCGCCTTTCGGGGCCGGCCCTTTCGGCCAGACTGAGCGGGAGGGGGCGACGCGAGAAGGCGGGGAAGCTGGCCTGGCCCTTCAGGGTGGGAGAAAAATCATCTCTCCCACACACCCGACACCCTGTCCTTCCGCGGCCCCTTTTCTCTTGTGGGAGAAATAAGCTGCCCCGCGCGCCCCCCTTGCCCGCCACCCACCATCCACCCAGGCGCGCCGCTTCCTTTCCCTTCTAGCTCAGCCGTTACTTGGTCATCGGGCCTCTCTCGGGCGCCGTACCGCCCTTCGGGTCAAACTAGGCGGGCTTTTTGGATGGGAAAAGCGCCTCCTGCTAGTAGCCGGGGTTTGGGGGTGTGTGTGACCCCCCCCACCGGCCCTCGAGGTGCCCCTTTTAGTGAACGTTGCCCGAGGGGCGAGCCAGCCGCGGTTCGCGGGCACGTTCGGGGCCGCTGCGCCCCCTGAAATTCTTGTGCCTGCCGGAGAACCCGATGGCAGCTTGGCTCCCCCCCCAAGTGGCCTTTGGTGCCTCCTTTCTCCTGAAAAATGGTCTCCGGGGACCTTAATTGATGCCCCGTCCCGTATCCCAGGGGAGACTGGTCCTGAGCCGGAAGGCATATAAATGAGGGGAAGTCTGGGGTTGTTCTTGTCCCTGGTACAGTACCTAGCATGCTTGCCAAGTACGAGCAATAATCACGCACGGACATGATTTAATAGGAGGAGGAAAGTGACATAGGGACACTTTAAATTCCTGGATATGTACAGTATTCCCATTTTATGTTTCCTGCTAATGGTCAAAACAGTGGATACACTTTTGAGCAATTCCTGCTTGTTTGGAGCTTTGACAGTCAAGTGCGTGTCTTATGGTGAGCCATGCTCTTGGCTGAGACTAGGTGCTCTGTTTATAGTACGCCTTCACTTCAGATCTCTAGCGATGCAGATTTTTTGTGCTGGTGTTGATGCAGTGACTAAATTAAAGTTACAACACTCTACTTCAAAATTGCTGCAAGGAGTATATTAATAACTTGGAGGTTCTAGTTTGTAGAGAGAAAACGGGATGTCTGCAGATGTATGTAAATGATTTTGCAGAGTATGGTACAGGAGCTAGTGCACTTTACGGCACTGGAAAATAGACTGCCTCTATTGGAAAAAAAACTGTTTCTTTGCCAGTTGTGCCAAAATACTTTGCTCTTGCTTGAATAATGACTGGCATTTATATATCCACTCATGCACTGCAGCTGGCCAAGTGTTGTTTAAGGAAATGCCTTTACTGTTAGACTGCAGAGACTCTGTATCATAGAAATTAAACTGTGATTCTAATTTTGATTTAAAAAATAGACTTGTTTTTTTTTCTCACCCTTATCCTGTTTCCTTCTTCTCTTTCTTTGTTCATCATTCAGGGTAATAGTCTTGGAGCACAGTGCAGGCTGAGAATTCCTATACATTTTCCTGTAGCATGTTGTAGATGTGGAAAAAATAGCACATGCATATGCACATATGCATATGTTAAGTTAGATTTTGACTCTGTTGTTTTATTCAAGAAATGGAAGTCATTAGTGAGGAATCGCTATTTAGACTTGATAGAATTCTAATTTATGGGTTTGGACAGTTGTGCAAAAGTGCCAAATGTGCTACCTCAAATGAAGAATTTCTGGTGAGAGTTGTCTACATTACCATAACAGAAATGATGATTTAATTGTCTCAGTATCTCATCTCCAACATATTCAAAAAAAGGTATCTTACATCAATCATCCTTGTTGTTTTAAATTATCATTCTGTTTCAGTGCAACCAACTCTAAATATTAAACCAGAAGTGGCTGGGTTAAAACTATGGAGAACAAAAATAACATACTTTTCTGAATGGATTTATTTATTTATATATTTATATATTTATTTATTATGGAAATCACTTAATCTTAATAGACTTTGAAGCAAAGTAGGAAAATCAAAGAATAATCAAGTAAATTGGGGCTACTGAGATATAGGACAGATTTTCTGTGACTGTAGAGAAATTCAGTCAAAGCAGCACTCAATGTGCATGTGATTTATGCCCCACCATGTGTACAAAACATCTAGCAAATGGCTGTGTTAATGGTATATAAGTAGCTCACTTCTGATCAAAAACAGTCTAATTAACATTTTAATTTTTTAATTTTACCTATATTTCACATGCATCCATAATTTAAAATTGCGTAGTGCTCTGATACATGTAAAGAAATCATGCAACCATCAATATTTATTTATTTATTTATTTCAAAGATAAATGTCCTATGAACAGAAAAAAACTGTCTGATAGAAATGGTATTTTGTCATTTTAAAAATTCCATTAAGATCTTTTTGGTCTTAGCAAAACTGAAAAAAAAAACTCAGTAAGCTAAAAACAGTCTGTAAGCTAGATGCCCTTGAATATGTGACATAAGTTATCTTGTATCCTGACAAGTTCACTCGGACTGTGGTTATCTGTTTAAGAGTAGTACAGTTTTGTATATTGTTCCACACGAAACGTGCTCATCTGCTCTGTATAAACCAGGATTGGGAGCCTGTAGCCTTCCAAATGTTGTCAGATTTTATTTATCCTCAGACAGCACAGGCAGTGGTCAGATATAACAGGAATTGTAACCAACAATACTTGAATGGCCAGAGTTTCTCTAATCCTGATTAAAGCTGTCAAGAGTTAGTTAGTAAGATCTTTTAAATTGGTTATTCTCTAGTCCTCAGGTGCTTATCTTACCAAGATACATTTCATTCTTTTCTGCCAAGTTAATAAACCATGAATGCATTTGATAAGACTTGATTGCTAATCACAGTTTTAAAACTCTAGTGTACCTGCACATGGAACGTACTCTAAGCCACAAATGGCTTTCTACATAGCATACATGATCTCTAAACTTTTTTAAATAGAACCTTTTTCTGGAATATGCATAAAAGTTAATTGGATGTCAGACGTTATTAGAATTGGACAGTTCAGTTGCTTACCCCAAACTGTGGCTGCTCACTGCCTGGCTAGCCCTGCATTCCTCCCTTCAGCCATAAGATACAGAACTGTAAGAAGGGCAGGTTCAAGAAAAAGGAATGGAAGTGAGGAGCAGGATCAATGGGATATTGGATGTCTTCCTGGCAGCACAGTGCTGCCATAGTGAAGATTCATACTTTGCTTTAGCGTACTACCTGCAAGGGCCATCATTGTTATAGGGTTGTAGTCAGTTTTTAACATACAACTGAAATCTGCAAACCTTTTGCTGCTGCTAAGACTGTCAGTCATGTTAAGGAGATAGGACTGATAGGATTTCATTTCCTGTTTGACAAGTGCCCTGTATAATAGTTTTCTAAATGACATGCACCCTCCTTTCTGTTTATGGGGGATTGGGTGGGCAAGAGCAAACAGATGGTAGCAACTGGTCCCATCTAGTTGACTTGCTATTGCAATCAGCTGCAAATCTGAAAAATTACTTCTTATGATCTTTCCTATTGATACATTTCTCTGAATGTATCCCATTTCTTTTCAGCTCTATGTATTACGATGAGGATGGTGACCTTGCCCATGAATTTTATGAGGAGACGATAGTCACCAAGAATGGGAGGAAGCGTGCTAAGCTGAAAAGAATCCATAAGAACCTGATACCTCAGGTAACCCAGTCAGAGGGAAGATGTAGCTGTTACAGTTTGTTTTCAAACTAACACTCAAGACTCCTGAGCAAGCAAGAAAGACTGGAAGATATCTGTAGATTTTATCTCATACTTTATGAACGGGATACTTTGTTTTTTGGGATGTGGATTTTGCTGGAAATATGTAGTCATACAAATAGTTTGCCTCTGTCATCAGGGGCAGTAGTGGCCAGTTGTAATATAAATAAATAAATAGTAGAATAGTCACCTTCAAATTTTAATACATAAAAAGGTTAAGATTCTGAACCTCACAGCTTCTTTCTCCAGAATTTTCTTGACAGTGCTTGAAGTCGGTATGGTTCTAAAATCTGTGTATAAATTGCTGCAGTCAGTAGCAGATATCTTTGTTGTAACAGTCAAGATGAACCATGTTCTGTGTCTTGAAATTGTCATGGAAGTTTCAGGTGAATAAATTCTGTAACTGGGTTACATCATAAAAAGTAAACACAAAAATTAGTTCCTCTTTTTTGTAAATTCCTTTGGATTGTTGAGAATTTATTTATGAATGTTTTGTTTCCCAGATGAATCCTTTGTTTAAGTATAATTCTTGTCTTTCCCAGATTTGTGCCAGAAAACTGTTGTAATACACTCAGCATCGTGTACCTCTGTTTGGTGTCACTTGGAGAAAATGGATCATTTGTAGCCTGATGCTTGAAAGCATTTCTCTGTGATGGTATCTGATCCTTTTGGCATCCTTTTCATTACAGGGCACAGTGAAGCTGGAACATCCTCGGATTCATGTGGATTTCCCTGTTATCATCTGTGAAGTCTGAGCCACAGAGGCAGCATGAACAGTCACATATGTGCTGTCAGTGCACCTTATTTGCCCAGTTTTACTGTACCTCATGTAAACCATGCTGACAGCCACATGTCCCTACAGAGTGATGGATCTGAAGCAAAATGTTTGGCTTTGAAGCACCTCTGCCAGGAGGAGGATATGGCAGCAGCTACAGCCCTGGGGATGTCTTGGAATGGAATAGTAATCAGAAGTACCCTTGGCATTGATAAGAACTGTGTCACATGAGATATCTGGCCTTGTTTAGGAGCCTGTTCAAATTTCCCCTACTGAATCCAATAAAATTCTTCCACCTGTCACTAATTAACATTTGAGGGGGGCAACCAGTTTCAGGTCTCTTGAGGTCATGGAGAACCAACTTGCACTTTTTTCTGAGCTGATGTCCTACTTAAGTATCCCAAACACCTTCTGGAAAAGTTGACCTTGAAAGTTCAGTTTGTGTGCTGTAGATCAGCAAGAGTGAGCTACAAGCCTGGTATGCTTCTCCTCATTTCCTGTTTCCACAGCTAAATACCAGACACCGCACTGTATGCATCTAAGAGCAGGGAATGGTGATATCAAGTGGTGGATTTAAAAGGGTGGCTGCTGAACCAGTCCAGGACAGATTGACTCCTGAGGTCTCCACTGAAACAGACTGATGTGAGCTGGCTTTGCTCTCTTTGTAACAACTCACAATGGATTTGCACTGTTTTCTTTGCAGTAAATATGTTTTTCAACTATGCTGCTTAGAAAATCCCACTGATTAGTGCCTGTTGTTGTGGCATGTGAAAAGAGGCTATTGGCAGCAGTAGCCATGTAGATGTTCTGTTAAGATTTACCAAAAAGGCTGCTGCATGGAAGTCGTATGTCCTGCCAGGTTGTGTTTTCATTCCAATGTTCTTCCATCTTGAAAATTTATGTTCCCCTAATGTGTGGGGTGCAGGAAAAGCAGTCATATCCTTCTCCTTCCCAATTCTTATTACAGGAATGTTCTTTTTCTCTGAACAGTTATGTGGGTAACACTTCCCCCTTTATCCTGTATATTCTGCTGCCAGCCCTAAAAACACTTGGCTGCGTTGATCAAGGTTGCCAGCCTGCTCTTTTTGCCTTTGGCTGCATCCCTTCCTTTGCAAATTACAATTGTGTTCTATGATCTTTCTTGAGTGGGGCAGGTATTGTTTAATGTGGGACAATGTAGCTCAACTCAAAAGAAAGTCATGTTTCTTTCTCCCAGAGGGCCTGTGTTTTCCTTATGTGCAAGAGGGATTACTAGGGCTACACTTCCTATAAAGAATGGCATGGTAGTTATGTAAGTACCAACATGGTGTGCCCCTTCATCCCAGTTTTCTTGCTTTCAGGGCTTAGAGTTACCTGTTACTGAGATCCGAATAGGTAGATCCTTGTCAGAGGCATTCATTTGTAGAGGGTTTCATATTCAGTGTACACCCAGGAAAGCTTGGCTTACTTCACTTCCCTTTTCTACCTATTCCTGATAATTTTAAATAAAGCTTTAAAACTGGATTATGGATGGGCATTAGGTGTAGGATTTGGCTTATTGTGCATCATATTTTCTTTCCCAGAGCATGTCATTTGCCTTTTGGAGCACTTCAGGCATTTGCTACCTCAATGTTTAATTTAATTAACTGGTCCAGTGTTGGGCCACCAGTATCAATAAGTCTAAGTAACTTTTGTCTCAGTTTCTGAACCTGCAAGGGAAGTCTTTTGAAACATGAACCAGACTGGTATGAGTCTGGTGTTTATTGTCAAAAGGTCTTAGTGTTCAGTGGCTCGATGCTTCTAATCTTCCCCACCCCAGTAGCATGTCTGTGGCTATACTCTAGGATTTATCTGTAGAGCATCAGACGTTTGACCATTCGTAGTGGTTTCCTGAATTGGAAATGCTTGTACAGTTGCATGTACAGAAGCGTACATCTGGTGATGACATTGGGCCTCTATCTTATTTCCATCCTCTTTTTCCACCTATTTTATCCTTTTGGTTGAGGATCAGCTGGATGGTGGAGCTAGGAAACTGACCTCTTTACCTTTTGTTGTGGAAGGAAGGAAACTTCTACTGTTGTGAATTAAGAGCATACTAGAAATATAGGGATATTTCTGTCACTCTTAGGCAAACAAAGCTATATCTTGGCATTATTTTGTAGAGGGAATTTGTTGAAGTCAAGAAACTGACACTTTTTTTCTTTAATAGTAAAGCCAATAGTAGACAATAAATGCTTGTCATTTAGAGCTTGCCCCATAGCTAGTTGGAAGGAAGGATTTTGCTTTTGTGTGGCTCTTCAGCGATGAAAGATTCTGAGCTTAAAATGCCCTCTCCATATCACAGTTCCTAAAATACCTGATTTGTGTGTGTGTGTGTGTGTGTGTGTGTGTGTCTGGTATGTGTTGTCTCACTGCCTCTCGTTCCTGAGCAGGCAAATACTGTGGGATCAAAAAGGTAACATGTAATGTTAGCTGCTGCTTCTCCTGTCACTTCTGTCTAGTGCTTTTGCACATCCTGCAGGATGCAGGGGATGCAGTGCTTGTTCCTTTTGGATCATAAATGGGAATTTTATCCCTGCAGGAAGCTCCATTCTTAACTAGCTTGAAATCTCCTGAGACACAGATGACTCTGGAGCTCCCAACAGCTGCTGCCAAGCCATTTCTCTCAAAGATTGGCTTGCCCGCTGGGACAGCAGCTGTGCAGTTAGACTGCTTGGAGTCTGAAATCCTAACGACGCTGTTTGTATGACTGTGCTTTCAGCAGCCTGGCTCCTCCTGACAGGGGCACCTGTTGCTTGGGAGTGGGCTTGAGGAGACTACTTTGTACAGGATGTTGATAATGTGAAAGCTGGTGTAAATGATATATATAAATATATATAGATATATTATTACTATTGTTCAAACAAGCAAAAAGTTGCATCTCCTTTTTTATGACTCTTCTGTGCAAATTTATGGTTGTGTAGAAGACCTGAACCTACTAGCACTACACATCCTTTTCCTGTAGCATATGGATAAGAACTGTGCAGGCAAAAGTGTAAGATATTTATGGTCTGTTTCCTCTGCCTTGAAGTGCATTTGTTAATTTTGTTAAATTTCAATAAAATTATTTGTAAGTCCTGGAACTCCCTGCTTCTTTTGACTCAGACTTCATGACAGGCTTGATTATTTGTGAAAAGGAAGGGCTGGTGGACTGTATTAGACTAAAGGAAAGTAAAACTCTGCTTTCCTTGTACAGCTTTGCTTTACAAAGCAAACTACCTCAGGCAACTCAGTTATTCTGGCCAGATATTTGACTGTTTTTTAAGATAAATTACTGCCCCTGAATCATTGGATCTAGGCTAGGAGCCACAAACCTATTTCAGAGACACTGATCTGATCATCTGATGCTAAAAATTGTGGGTTTTTTTATGTTTGGGGGATTTCAGATCACTAAGCTATGTTTAGAAACCTGTCTGTAAATAGAACAGTGAGCTGTAGATTACTTTACTTACAGCATGTGCAAAATGAAGCTTATTGCCTTACTAATCAAGCTTTACCATTCTGTTGTTAATGCAAAAGAAGCTACAGAGCTAGATGCACCTGCTGTTACTCTAGCCAAGCAGCCACCTGATTCCATTTGGAGCAGCTAATTTTAGGAGCCCAATAGAGCTTGGCAGGATATTAGAGAACAAAGCAGATCTCCTAAATTAATGTTCTTGATTGATAGATGTAATTGATTGATTACATGTAATGAAGACTGTATCAGTATTCACTGATGGAATGAAATACATTTCTCTGTGATAGTCAAAACAGCAAAACCTGACTGTCACCAATTAACATTCCTATAGATTGCATTTGACCTCAGTAGTTCCGCAAACCTTGCATCTCTTTACTCAAAAATGTAATGAAATAGTTCACAATTGTGTTTATCCAAACTTTGCTTCATCAGATATCAGATTTATTAAAGGTACAACAAGGCTTTATCCTACTGCAGCTGTCTAGCTGTAGATCAGTACAGCTAATGCTGATTGTCAGAATATGAAGTCAGTCTAATTCTTTATATTATGTCAAATGTTTCTTTTATTAGCTTTTAGGTAATAACTACATTTATTTTACAATCTAATATTATACTAGTTCCCCTCTGTTCAACAGTGGTTAGGCCTCATCTTGAGTACTGTGTCCAGTTCTGGGCACCACACTTCAAGAAGGATGCTGACAAATTGAAACCAATTCAGTTGAGTACTGTATCAGAAAAAACTTCCTAACTGTTAAAACCAGTATGGTAATGGAACCAGTTATTTCAAGAGGTGGTGAGTGGAGGCATTCAAGAAAAACGTGGACAATGACCTGGCAGATATCCTTTGATTTGTATTCCTGCATTGCGCAGAGGGTTGGACTCAACGGCCTTATAGGCCCCTTCCAATTTCATTATCCAATTATTCTATTACTCTACAATGATATAGCTACAATATCTTTGGTAACTGCCTAGGATTGCGATATATTAGCAGATACTCCAAACAAACATTTTTCATAGTTATGTACGAAAAAATCCCCATTAGAATTTGACTTAGATTAGCAAAAGGATAAACTCTTAATTACATAAATGATAAATCCATTAATGCCCATGAGATGGCACTATAGATAAACAAAAATTATTGACCATAATCCTCTTGTGTAGTTAATGCTAACATAACAATAACAATGTAATTTTAGAGGTCAGTTGTATCAAATTAAGAAATCACCATAGGCATTATCTGTTGCTCACTTGGTTGTCTGAATCAGCACACAACAGCTAATGCATACAGTGATTTCTTCACAGGAGGCTTCAAAAGTTGGGCTGTTAGTGTTGCACTGGCCTAGTTACCCAAGAAGGTTTTGAACATTGTATTATATTGGGAAACTGCTATATACAGTGTATCACAAAAGTGAGTACACCCCTCATATTTCATAAATACTTTAGTACAGTACATGGTTGTGGGTTTTTTGGGCCCTTTGGCCGTGTTCTGAAGGTTGTTCTTCCTAATGTTTTGCCAGTTTCTGTGGCCGGCATCTTCAGAGGACAGGAGTCAGAATGTAAATCAGTGAGTATACAGCTTGTATAACAGTGTAAATGTGCTGTCCCCTCAAAATAACACACAGCGATTAATGTCTAAACCACTGGTTCTTAACCTTGGGTTACTCAGGAGTTTTGGACTGCAACTCCCAGAAGCCTTCACCACCAACTGTGCTGGCTGGGGTTTCTGGGAGTTGCAGTTCAAAAACATCCAAGTAGCAAAGGTTAAGAACCACTGGTCTAAACCACTGGCGACAAAAATGAGTACACTCCTAAGTGACAATATCCAAATTGGGACCAAGTAGCAATTTTCCTTTCCTGGTGTCATGAGACCCGTTAGTGTCACAAGTCTCAGGTGTGAAGGGGGAGCAGGTGTTATCACTCCCACTCTTTCAGACTGGTCACATGGCACCTCATGGTAATGAACTATCTGAGGTTCTGAAAAAATGAATTGTTCCTCTACATAAAGATGGCCTAGGGCTAGCCTATAAGAAGATGGCCAAAACCCTGAAACTGAGCTGTAGCACAATGGCCAAGACCATACGGCGGTTTAACAGGACAGGTTCCACTCAGAACAGGCCTGGCCAGGTCGACCAAAGAAGTTGAACGCCTGTGCTCATCATCGTATCCAGAGGTTGGCTTTGGGAAATATATGTCTGGATGGGGGTCAGCCTGTCAGTGCTCAGACCATAAGCTGCACACTGCATCAAATTGGTCTCCAGGGCTGTCATCCCAGAAGGAAGCCTCTTCTAAAGATGATGCACAAGAAAGCCCACATACAGTTTGCTGCAGACAAGCAGACTAAGGACATGGATTTCTGGAACCATGTCCTGTGGTCCGATGAGACCAAGATGAGCTTATTTGGTTCAGATGATGTCAAGCGTGTCTGGTGACAACCAGGTGAGGAGTACAAAGACAAGTGTGTTGTGCCTACAGTCAAGCCTGGTGGTGGGAGTGTCATGGTCTGGGGCTGCATGAGTGCTGCCAGCACTGGGGAGCTACAGTTCATTGAGGGAACCATGAATCCCAACATGTACTGTGACATAATAAAGCAGAGCATGATCCCCTCTTTTCGGAGACTGGGCCTCAGAGCAATATGGTAATGACCCCAAACACACCTCCAAAACAACCACAGCCTTACTAAAGAAGCTGAGGGTAAAGGTGATGGACTGGCCAAGCATGTCTCCAGCCCTAAACCCTATTGAGCATCTGTGGGGCATCCTGAAATGGAAGGTGGAGGTGCACAAGATCTCTAACATCCACCAGCTCTGTGATGTTGTCCTAGAGGAGTGGAAGAGGACCACACTGACAACCTGTGAATCTCTGGTGAACTCCATGCCCAAGAGGGTTAAGCCGATGCTGGAAAATAATGGTGGCCACACAAAATATTGACACTTTGTGTCCAATTTGGACATTGTCACTTAGGGGTGTACTCACTTTTGTCGCCAGTGGTTTTGTTGCCAGCGGTTTAGGCTGTGTGCTGCATTATTTTGAGGGGACAGCACATTTACACTGTTATACAATTTGTATACTTTACTGCTTTACATTGTAGCCAAGTGTCATTTCTTCAGTGTTGTCACATGAAAAGATATAGCAAAATATTTATGAAATGTGAGGGGGTGTACTCACTTCTGCCATATACTGTAATACATTTTATACACTATTTCATGGGTTTGATGTCATCTGGTTAATGGGAACTATGAACATAGAAAGAAAGCACACATCACAGCATATACTTAGAAACATGTACTGTAATAATCATCTTGGAACTGCAGAGTCATTGAGTCCAGCCCCTGCCAGGGAGGAATAGTGGGGAATTGAACTCACAACCTTTGCTTAAACCACCGAGATATGCAGTAGTGATTGTTGTAGACTTAGAGTAATTTATCAAGGTGATAACATGACAACCTGTTCAGGTGAGTTTATGCTGCTGTGTAAGTTTTCCTTCCCTGATAAGGTATGAGTAGGTGTCCAATTTTTCTCTGTTCCAGTGCAGGAAGGCTAGACTGTAAAGGCCTTTTGGCTGCTCAAGTCATGATAGCTCCTCCACTGTGAGAGGGACAGATGGACATCCATGCAGTGCTGACCTTAAGGACCATACCCAGCTGTGCTCAAGGGCTCCCCAGCATGTAGGGTCATCTGCCTGTTTCCTTTTGCTATTGTATTCTGCATGTCTCTCATCCATCTATATCATATGCTTTCTAAGATACCAGTAGATTTCTGTCTTTATCAGGATTTTAAAAACAAAAGAAAACTTAAACTCCTTGGAATTCTGGCTGGTCCAAACCTGCCAATTAGCACAAATATGATATACTGAAATACTGGGGACTTATTTCTGCTAATGATGATAATTAATCCCAAAACCCAACATTTAGCACAGCCTATATTTATGTGTTCATGCATTCTACATGTGAAATGCAAGGAGGAAAGGGCAGTAACATGTTTCATATTGGATTTGTGACCAGAGATACGGATGTATTTGCATTTTCTTTAAAAATGTATGATATCCCCTAGCCTAGTAGATCAGGGTACAGTACAAGGTAAAATGAAGGTAAAGTTAAAAGTCTGAAGTTTACCAAGTGCCCTTCCTTTGACTGAAAGAGATAGGCACTTGGAACTGCTGTGTTTTGGGGCCAGGAAGCACCTTACACCCAATAAACTGTAGCAGCTCAAAATTGTTTTCTGTTTATTTCTGCAATACCTAAAATTTGTATTAAAAATTGCCTTTTTATACAATGAATGCTAGGCAAGATAAAAAAACCTTCAGTTGGGAGACCAATCCAGAGAGGGCAAAGCTGTCTGAGCTGCTCTTGTAAATGAACCAGGGGGTTGTGATCTTACAGCACTAGTGGGCAAACTCCGGAGGTCTAGGATTTGCATGTTTTCGCCCTTGAACATTGGGGCGCTGCTTCCTGCCCCAATATTGATACATTTGTTAATTGGGGGGAAAAAACCCTTCTTGCATTGTGTGCTGTCAAGGTAGAACCAACTGAGTAACTTTAACAGGGTTTTGAAGTACCATGAGATATTTAAGGAGTGGTTTTTCTAGTTCCACCTCTTGTCCATGAGTTTCTATTGCCAAGCAGGGAA